CAAACAAACAAACAAACAAACAAGGAAGAGAAAAAGAACTTGGGTAGACGTCGACAGGCTCCTGGCTCGAGAGGAAAAATTTAGTGAGCACAGAGACAGTACAGTCTGGAGAAGATTTTGTTGTTGTCGTCGTCGTTTTTAATTTCTCCCCACCCCCACCCCCTTGCTTAGTCAAGGAGAATTCTTTTTCCCAGGGCATTTATACCCGGGAAAGTTTTGTCCGTGTGACACATCACTCCCATTTGACGAGAGAGAGGGAGACAGCAATTTTATTTACTATTTTACTCCCGTCCCCTCCCCTGCACAAAACGCTACCAGCAGGCGCGTTTCCTGTGAGTTTCCCGCCATTTGAACACGTGACTTGTCAAACTCACGTGGAGTTGTTGCGTAGGATCATGGCGACGGCTTCTTCGGCAGTAGTGCTTTCTTTGTCAAATAATTCCGCTTCTTCCACACCAAGCGTGTTGTACAAGTTAAAGGTAACCCTCACTGATCAATACCACAAAGTACGGGGTGGACGCTGGCGAAGAGTCATCGTTCCAGCGTATTTTTCGCTGTTAGAACTGCACGTCGTGATTCAACTCGTGTTTGGCTGGGAAAACTACCATCTCCACCATTTCATGTCCATGGTCAAAAACGGTAAACCTAGAAGCCGACGACACGATCCAGTCGAGTATAAAATACCAGAAGAATACGACGACCCTATCTTGATGCGGGAGATGAAAGATGGACGTGCTTACAAGCTCTCTGACGTGTTCAGTGAAGAAAATCCCTTTCTGGAATACGAGTATGACTTCGGTGCTTGTTGGGAGCATGTTATCAAGTACGAAGGAGGTTCGCCGGAGAATTTAGATTGCGAATACCCCATGTGTGTTGACGGGAAAGGCGCTAATCGAAGGGAAGACCATCAGGATGAAGACGAAGATGGAGACCTTCTGCCGGATTACCAGGGAAAGCAGTTTAGCCGACAAGAAGCGCAACGCGCCATTCAAAGGGTCTTCGCGGGTAAATGGCCTCTTAAAGTTGACAAGACGACAGTTCCAAAGTGCTATCTCTGCGCCTTTTTCAATTCTGCGTTCGGAACCTGTCGAGGCCCTACCTGCACTGGAAAATGCTGTAAGGTTTGTCTGAAGGCACCTGCTCCTGTGTCAAACGAAGAGGCGGAAAGCTCTGATGAAGATCTGTAGAAGCTGGAATCATGGAGGTGAAAGGGGTATTTGATAACGACTTCCTTTATGTTTAATAAACTACAGTGAAGTGTTAATTGCTCAGCGATTGAAACAGTTTCTACTTATCAAAGTTGTTGTTGGCCAGCAGTTGTCAGTTGTGTTAGAGATGTTAAAAAACTTGTGGTACGACTTTTGTTTCAAAGAATTGAATGTCCACATTTGTCAAATTTCATATAGTTATTGATTTAGTGGAAATGCATGCATATTGCCATGCCTGATTTTGAGATAAGGCTGTTAAGGCGTGGTTACAGTAAGCAATTGTGCTTGCAATTTGTTGTTCTCTTTTGTTTTGTTTTGCCATTGCAAGGCAAGTTGCAATTGCGGACGCCCAGTTGCGGATGCATATAGTACACATGATCCGATAGCTTGTGCAATTTGCGTTTTAATTTAGACCTACCTACTTTGTACGCTCAAACGGGTAGGACGTATACTGTATCCCAAAAGAAAAAATCTCTCACATTTAACATGACATTGACAGATCATTGACATCCGTTTGACTATTCCTAATATGGCTTGAGTGGGAAAGCTACTTCGCAGTGAAGCTTTGCCCAGGGTCTAAAAAATTACACGTGGCCATGCTCGCGAACTATCTGCCTACTGTAAACTACCGCTTATAAGCCCTGGGGCCTGTTTCTCGAAAGCCCCGGAAACTTTTCGGGCCCGCAAAGCCATTTTTAGTTAACCGGTATTTAAAGATAAAGAGGTTTAGACACCTGAAACTTCTTGCATGAAGGCAACCTCTGTTCATATTGAGAATATGTGCATAAAAGATTTATAAAACAGCTCTGAAGTCATAAGGTTTGAGATTTTGCTACGGCTTTTCGGATGCGAAAACTTTTCGGGACCTTCGAGAAACGGGCCCCTGGACTTAGATAACTTCGTAAAGGCTTTTAGACGGGCTTATAAAAGGAGGGGCTTATATCCGAGGGAGTTTTTAACCGGAATAAAAGAACCGTTTCGAAACGAGCTATAGCTGTGTTGGTCGAAATAGTTTTTTTCATTAACTAGATTTCGATTAAGCTTGAAAACATCATAATAGAGCGAATTCAAAACAAGGAAAGTTAAAGAAGAACCTATATCGTGGGGGTGGGGGTCTAATAACCGGATGTATTTTTTGGTCTACAGATAGATAAGCCTATAACCGGGAGGCTCATAAGCGGGGAACTTATAAGAGGCAGTTTACCGTATGTGGTCCGAAGTGACAGGGTATGTAGTTTTATTACAACTCATCATGAATGGAGTCTCTCTTCAATGTGGTTTAAACATTAATCATCAAACCGAAATCAGAGACGGTTCGATTCAGTCAACATCAGATAATTTTGTGAAAATATTGTACTTGTAGGGCTATTGGTCCACCCTATCCTTTGTCCTAAACAGAGGGCCTTTCAACCAATACAACTCTTCACACTCTGAAAATTGGTCGAAATCGATTCCACGACTACGGCGTTTACAAACTTCTCAAGGAAATTAGGAAACAAACTTCGAGTGCGCTGAGGACACTCGACATGGATGATGCCACGTTGGACCACGCGTGTTTGAGAGAACTGGAGATGTTGACTAAAGAGCGACCTGGCTTCACATGCCTGTGGGGAACAGTGGTCAAAGGTGGCGAACCGATGCCGGCCATGCCAGCCTCCCTGAGGCGTAACCCTTCCGCAACACCCCTTGTAGTGCAGAAGTTTTTGTCTTTCGTCAGCAGCCGAGGTTGGAGGCTGATCGACTTGTTTAGGATTATCACCAGGAACGACTTCAGTGCGCTGCGGATGACTGTGGACAGGGAGAGGTTCGTGCAAGGCCTGCTCAGACTTGGAGTTCGTCTCAAGAAAGTCCAACTCGATGAGTTGTTCGACATTCTCGACGTTGACCAGGACGGCGTGGTCAGGTTTCAGGAGTTTGTTGCGATGAAACAACAGAAGAAATAGTCTTCTTAAAATATGCAACATGATTAATTTGCGGGTTTCCCGCAAGGTCGGTAACGGTGTGCACAAACATGGCACAAAGTAAACTAATTATTTCTGTGAAGATTCTATGACGTAAAATATTACTTATCTTTGACTGAAGAAATTTCCGAGCTGGGAACAGTGTAGTACAAGTTTTGCTCCCCTAAAAGTTGGCCTTTATAAAACAACAGCGAAAAATTAAGAGAGACACGTCTAGGGAACCCAGAACACGACAACAGACTCTCCGACGAATATACGACGTTAAAATTTCAATCAATAAAGCGTGCGATTGTATCTAAGAAATATAATAAAACGCTACATTCGCGTCCCGCTTCAGGGTATAGTAAGGTCTATTAAATGAATGAAAAATCGACAAGATATACATACATTTTACGTTTACGAGTAAATGTTGCAATATAAAAGCAGTCGTAATCAGAAACATGTTCTTCAACTTTAAATCAACGAAAACAATGTGTATACATTCTTCTACTCTTAAACTATCTGTTTTAAATTGTAATGGGTTCCATGTTTACATATGCTTATCAGTAGAAGTAAGTTACTGTTTTCTTTTTTTTCCTGAAAGTTGGAGACTTAAAATACTTCTTAATTGGGAAATAAGACAAAATGAATCATTTACTGGCATCATTAAAATTGTTATTTCCTTTGACCTCAAACAGTGAGATCCTTCGAGAGTAGTTTATGTTGAAAGTATTTACGTCATGCCGTACAAAGAACTGCACAAAGGAGGTATTTATAACCACAATTTAGATGAAACTCCGTCAAAGTAATCATTAAGGTTTCATTAACAAAAAAGAATTTCCCAACAGTCAGTTGTTTTGGTTAGTAGTGGTCATTCCTGTATGTTCGACGCTAATTGGTACACAACATACACAGTATTCTCCTCTTTCAATATCAAAACAACATATCATTAACGCCAAATCACTGGACGCCTAGTGACTAAATGATCTGAAAACATCTGAATGAGAGATGTGCCATAACAGGGCAATCTGTTTACGAGCTCTGCGTAAATAATCGCACTTTCGAAACCTCTGGGTCTGATGGCGGAACAAATGAAATTGAAGGGCTGATTCAAAACTGTGATCTAAACCGTCCTCAACGTGTGGACCTCATGCAGTGATAAGATGTGACCACGGTCCTGAGAATTCCATTTAAACACAAAATAGACAAAGCAGCAAGGTCGACATTCAGGACGACGTCTCTTCACGAGATAACTGTGGGAAGGTAATCTCTACCTAATTATCAAGAGGTGATTGCCTCCATTTGCATCCCAGTTTTATCAAAGAGAGGCTTTCCGAAAGTCAAAGGTGGATAACTGCTATAAAGTACTGAAAAAAGACAACAGTTGGTAAGAACCTTAAAAAAACCGTTGGTTTGCTCGGCGAGATAATGGAAGACGATGAATTTTTCGACACTGACTTGGAAGAGGAAAGCGACGAGCGGGTAATCGAGAAAGGAGAGTTCGGAGTTCTTTCTCGATCAATTCAAGACATTTACCTTGACGCGTGTAAGAACAATAACATTGTGCCTTCGTCCAAGTTTCTAAAACAGTGCTCCACCGAAAAAAATATCGAACTCAACCATTACGGTCTGGGAGATTCCGGCACACGAGCCATATGCACGGCTTTAGAAGGATGCTCCAATGTTACTACCTTAAATCTCCATGACAACGGAATCTATGATAAAGGAATAACCTACATTGCTAAGATGCTCAAGAGGAATGTCTTCATCAGCAAAGTCGATTTGTCAGGCAACCAGATAGGCAAGGAGGCTGCAGACGAACTCGGAGACATGCTACTTCAGAACAACACTCTAAAAGAACTCAATATTAGCAAGTGCAACTTACAAGGGAAAACTGTTGCGGTGTTTTGCAATTCTTTAAGGTTAGATGCTCCTCTGACACACTTAAATTTGTCTTACAACGACATCGGCGACAGAGGAGCAACTTTCCTCGGTTCCGCTATCAAGGTGAATTCCATTCTGGACAACTTGGACGTGAGCTGGAACAGCATACGCGTGAAAGGCGCCCGTGCACTGGCCGAAGGTTTGAAAACAAATACACGCCTTAGAGAGGTGAATGTTGCTTGGAATGGGCTTTTGGACGACGGCATTGCAGCTATTCAGGAAGCGCTGTCGTGCAACCAGACGCTCAAAGTTCTGGACATCGGCAGTAACTGCATCACCAACAAAGGTGTCGCATCGATTGCTAGAATCCTGAAGACGAACAAAAGCTTGGAGGTTTTGAAGACTGGGCGGAATCCATTTCAAAGTTACGGCGCTTGTGTCCTGTTAAGAGCCATTCAGAAGAACACATCCAGTGCCTTAAGAGAGTTACAGCTAGATGATATAGTCTTCGATAAGGACTGTGCTCGTGAGCTCGAGATTCTACTGGAAGGAAGGCCTTCCTTTACATGCTCGTGGGATATCAGCATTACAGGCGAGCGTCTAACAGATCGGAAAAAGCGCCCTGAGATCCTGGACGTGTACTTGGCTTTCGTGCGTACACAAGGACTGCGTCTGATTGACCTGTTCAAAATCCTGTCTAAAGACCGTGATGGACTCAAGCTCAGCAAAGAGGACTTTGTAGGAGGAATGAAGAAGTTAAACGCTCCGATACACGATGTCCAGTTGAGGGAGCTCTTCGACAAAATGGACTCAAAGAGCAACGGTGTCATCGCTTTTCAAGAGTTTGTCGTGTGGACGCGCGAGCGATATCAGCCGCAGAGCGTGACGGCTCAACAATAATCCGAGCACAGCAACGAATGAACACAAATAGAGCACAAATATCCTTGACTTGCTTAATTTCCTAATCTTTTTTTTTTTCCATATATAATACATCTATCTGATGGCATGTATTAGCACTCAAAAAGAATGCTTTTTTTCGCTCGGATTTTTACTGAAAGTAAAAAGAAACTGTTTCTCTTTAAGGATGCAATGAAAAATGCTGTGCGTCAGGTTTCGTGTACAGCATCTTAACTAACTTATTTGAACTTGCTTGTCTGGTTGTTCCAGCGCTGTACATGGTAATGCTGTCTTTTTCATTAACCAAACTTAGCTACACACAGCACGTTTTGGAAGTTCCAAGAAAAGCATTGTTCCCCTCCGCATTCAACCTGCCGACTTTGGAGCAACTTGACTTGAACGAAACGAGCCCTTTCTCAACTCTAAAAGGTTGATTCACACTACCGCGGCCGCATAAGAATAGGTATAAAGTCCAGTCCACACGAGCGATTTTTAAATAATTTTTTTTAACTTTTTATGTGACAATTCTTATTTGCTCGTGTAGATGAGGAAAATTGGCCAATTTTGATATGACAAATACATTTGCTGAAAAGCTAACGTGTTGGCTTTTATGCGACAAAATTTGTCACATACGAAAAATTGCTCGT